TTTATATATTTATTTATATATATGTTGCATTAAGGGATAATAATCTGTTCTCACTCATTAGATGAGGCATGGGCCTGGGAGCTAAAATTCTGGATAAATGCTCATTTGCTCACTGTCTGAGACCTGAAATAGGCAGTCTTGCCTGTCCTCAAAACTAAAACATGCATCACAACAGCAACAACTGCAAATTACACAGGGGTAGTGATCACTCAATTAGGCTCTAGAAATCCCTGAGCTCATTCTTCAATAATAGAATGCGTATCACTTCCATAGCTATTAAACTGATAGCCAAAATGTGTGGTTTCCCTAATACAATACCGATTTGGAAGGATTTCTTCCTTCTATGTCTGTATAGTTATTAATGGTTGTGGACCAGGTTGGGCGCCCAGGTTGTACAAAGCATAGGGCACCATATCAGAGGTGGCACCTTCCTCTAGGACATTCTACATATATATATTTATTAAGAAAAGTATCCAGACAAGGGCAGTCAGGTTTTTTTTTTCCTACCATAATTAGTATGTTAAGATGTATCTCTGACAGATGGAAGAAAACTGTCTTGAGAAAAGGGACTCTTTTTCTAATTTGCATGGAAATGCTACATAGGTGAGCGACACTTTAGTTAGAATACACATTATGCTGCTTAGGTAATTATGTCAAAGTAAAACCTTTGCATCATCAGAAAAATGGAGTTTAGTCTTATTCAGACACAATTTGGGATCATATTTTGCATATTGAATCCCTCTGGCTGCATCTTACAAGAAACATCTTCGCTAAAGTGCAGAAAGCCAAAGGATTTTCAAGAAGCCTGAAGGGAAATTAATTTGTCACTCGTTTTAGAAGAGGCTGATTGTTTGGGGAAGGGTGGGTGGTGGCTGGTAAACGTTTGACAAACAGTTGCGGGTGTGATTGCGGGCTTCTGTGGTGACAGTGCTCCGGCATAGCTGCTTATGTGACCAGCAGTGGAAAGACAGCTGCTTGCAGAGGCCAGGCCAACACAAGAACAGCTCTCACTGCCCAGTACCCGCCGACTCCATCCCATCATTACTCTCATTTAATAAGTCACCTTGTCAGATCTATTTTTAAGTTATGTTTGGATACTCTAAGTCTGGCATTCCCAATTGTGATTTCAAAGTTCCGATCCATTCATCTGAGGGACAGCTGCCTCTGAGAAAGGAAATCAGATATCATCTTTGAAAATTTTCTTGCTTCTCACAGATCCAATTTAAGCTACCTGATTACATTGCTCAATTAGATTCCACAAATGATCACTTGTATCCGCGATAACTCTTAGACTAGCCAAGAGTTAACGCTGGTGGTAATTGACCAAGAATGCGATGCTGGCGGTACATACACTTTCTGGTACCTTGAGACCCAGGAAATAGGAGCCACAGCCGTTGGGCTCCTGAGGTTTGTAGCCAGGTCTGGGCATTGGTGCCTTTCCTAGCAGGAGAAAAGAGAGGGGAGAAATATTTAGAAATCAAGTATTTGGGAACATTCATCAAATAAAAATTTTCCAAAAGCGTATTCCATCTTTCTTTCAAAAACTACTGTTCTTCACCTCGAACATGTGTGGCATTTTCTCCTAATCTCAAAGAATTTTTTTTTTTTTTTTTTTTTCCCTCCGGTACCGGGAACCAAACTCACGACCTTGCGCATTCCAGGCAGGCGCTTTTGCCGCTGAGCTTAATCCCCAGCCCCTAATCTCAAAGAATTTTATGAGCACTTAGTCCATAACAAATCTAATGCTTCTCTAGTCCATGGCCTTGAGATAAGGGCTGTGACCAAACCAAAATAAACCTCACTGTTATGGTTTGTGTTTGGGTGTCCCCCCAAAGCCTCATGCGGTCTTGGGGCAGGCTTTTAGGGTTTGATTGATTGTGGGTGTGAGAGCTGCACCCGCCCTGGGGTGGATAGTTTGCATATGTAAGGGAGAGGAAGAGGGTGCTTCTGGCCATTTCCTCCCTTGTGTTTTTGTTGCTTTGCTGTGTTCTGCCGCCATCAGCTGTAGCTCTCTGCCATGTGCCACTCTGCCTTGTAATCTGCCAAGTACGGACTGAAACCTCCACAAACTGTAAGCGAGATAAACCTTTCCTTTCTTAATTTTGGGCGTCAGGTATTTTGCCCCAGCAATGAGAGAAAAGTAACCAAGACACTCACGTTCTTTTAATTTCTCTGGCCACTGTAAGGCCACACACCGCACACAGAACACAAACACCCGGTAACGCCCTTGCAAAATGGATATTTTAATGGTACCATAAAAGTGTTTAAGACTGACTTGAAGGGAGTTTAGCAAGAGTCCTCAGATGCAGACAAAACATTTTGATCAAAGAGCAAAAAAAACCACCCCAAATGCAATATTTTAGATGCAAGGCATTTGTATCATTGAATTAAGTAAAGGGGCTTAAGGCTTTGGCTTTCTGGATTTCTCCTAAAGGCTTTTGAGTTATTTTATGATTCTGAAAATATGTAGAAAGCAGCCTTGACCTGAGATGACCTTAGGGTAGTCGTCTGCATTGGGCATTTTTTTTTTTTCCTGTACTGGGAATTGAACTCATAACCTTGAGCTTGCCAGGCAGGCACTGTGCCACTGAGCTAAATCCCTAACCCCTGCATTGGGCATTTTATCCCTTTATTTAGATAAGAAAAATAGGGACTAAGAAGACCCATAACTTGCCTAAGGTGATACAGTAAGCAGCGGAGGTAGGATATAAATTCAGACTTCCCTGTTGTCTCCATGTTCTATTACTACATCTCTGCCTCCTTTTAGGAGATGCAAGACCAAGCACAAGCACAAGGAAATAGCCTAAGAATTAATCTTCAGAAGGAGGCACATGGCAGGTTCTTTTCCTTTTCATTCTTTCTTTCCTTTCCTTCCTTCCTTCCTTTTCCTTTAATGTTCTCCTACAGGTATTTTATTTTTAATTATTATGTATTATGAAACTTCTCGAGACTGGAAGAAAAAAATAAACCCCTATGCACTCGTATATTACAAACATAATAGGTGGTAACATTTGCCAAACTTGCTATAAACATTTTTCTATTTAATTAAATATTATAGTTCAGGTGCAGTTGAAGCCCCCCCCCTTTTTTTTTCCTCCGGTACCAGGAACCGAACTCATGACCTTGCGCTTGCCAGGCAGGCGCTTTGCCGATGAGCTAAATCCCCAGCCCCCGAAGCCCCTTTATATCCCATCTTTCCATTTTAAGTTTCAGATACTGAATCTACGTTTTAAAGGCCTTCCTCCTTACTGTTCCTCAAAATCTTTTGTTTTATTTATTTTTTTTGTTTTTGTTTTTGTAGTTTTTCTGTCGGTACCAGGAATTGAACTCATGACCTTGCACTTGCCAGGCAGGTGCTTTGCCGCTGAGCTAAATCCCCAGCCCCTTTTGTTTTATTTTTGGACATCTATTCTTGCATATGAATTTTATTGTCAACTTACTAAATTCTACAATATTGTCAGGATTTTGATAACAATCCACTGAATTTAGAATTTCTAGACAACTGCCTGTTTAGACTACTCAGTATTACCAGTCATGAGCATAGTACTGCTCTCCATTTACTTAGTTCTTTCTGGACCTTTCAAAGGATGTTGTAATTTTCTCCACATATCTTTTGTATCTCTTGTATATCTATCTTATTCAGATCCTTAAACAAGATAGAATCACTCATCCAGAACGGTTATAGCAAGTACAGAAAATCTGCACTTCTCTGGAGCCCAGGCTGCATCTCAATTTCTGCTGTATGAGCCCTCCTCGGTGCAGCCCTTGGCTTTCATGGTCTTAAAGGACCCTTGGGCAGACACATCCACGTCACCAGCTGTGGGATGGAGCAGTTAGAAGGGTCCAGTTCTTCCTTTCCTTTAATAAACACACCGAAATGTTACTCATATCCCTCCTCTTGTTACCTTTGGCCAGACCTTAATCAGATGTCAACACCTACTTACGGAGGTGGGCTCGGACATGAAGGCTTTATTCAATGTAGGCAACCAGGACCCCCGCTGAGAATGAGAGGAGGCGCTTGTTACTGTACACAAGGGAAGGAAGTCTTGGTGGAAAATGAGCAGTTCCCAGCACAGTGTTCGGATGTTGGTTGCTGGGGTAGGTGAGGTGTAAGATTTTGGCCCAAGATGGCTCCCGTGATCCCCATGCCCTGTATGGGCACATGTGTCTATCTGTGCTTCATTTCTTTTCATTGCCAGGACTGTCATTTATTGTCCCAGGACTCATCTGTGTGACCAAGAAAATATGGCAGAAGTAGAGATATGTGGATTCTGCTATTCAGCTATAAAAGACTGCGATACTGTCTTATCTCTCTCCCCTCTCTTATCTTTTCTCTCCTCTCCACTCTTTGGTGTCCCGTGGTGGCAGCATCAGCCGCAGCCTAATGTGACTGTGACCTTAGCCGAAGCTTGGAGGCAGAGCTGCCCAGCAAAGCCACCTAGGGCTCCTAATCCTCAGCTACTGTGTGATAAGACATTTGCAATGTTAAGCCACCAGACTGTAGGGTAACTTGTCCCTTGATGATGCATAATTATTGCAGTGGCCATTATGATACTGATCTTTTCATTCCATTATTTTCTATGACAGCTTTGTTGACATACAATTCACCCATCATACATTCACCCACTCAGTGTATCTGATTTAATGGTTTTATTATATTCATAGAGTCCTGCAACTATCATCACAAGTTTATTAGAACATTTTTATGCTCTCAAAAAGAAACTCCATAGCCATTAGCAATTACATTGTGTCTCTCCCTCCTCTGGCCCTGAGCAGTCACTAAACATACTGTCCCTACAAGTATTTGGCCAGCTCACATAAATGAAGTAGTATAATCTGGATCCTCACGTGTCTTGCTTCTTTCCCTTGGCATGGTGTATTTTGGGTTCATGCATGCTGTAGCGTTTATCAGTACTTCATTTCTGTTTATTAGCAGGAAGCACTCCATTGTATGGATAGACCACATTTTGTCTATCCATCTACTCGTTGATGGACATTTGGACTGATTTTCACTTTTCCTCTGTTATACAGTACTTACTACTACAAATATATGTATCCACAGATATATACAAACGTGTGGACATACATTTCTCCAGAGGAGTGGGATTTCTGGGCCACATGGTGACTCTGTTTAACATTTTCAGTAACTGTTTTCCACAGTGGCTGAGTCATTTTTCATTCCCACCAGCGATACATGAGGGTTTCAGTTTCTCCACATCCTCACTAATACTTCTTTCCTGTCATTTTGCTTCACAGCCATGCTAGTGGGTGTGAGACGTGTCTCACGGTAGTTTTGGTTCACAGCTTCCTAAGGACTGATCGTGTTGAGCATCTTTTCCGGGGCCTATTGGTCATTTATGCATCTTCTTTGGGAAATGGTCTCTTCAAATCCTCTGATCAATCTGTAACTGGGTTATTTTTCTTTTGAGTATTTGATTATCAGGTTTATATATATATATATATATATATATATATATATACACACACACACAAGCACTTGTTTCTTTTATATACATGTATTATATACATATGTATATAAAAGAAACAAGTGCTTGTCAGATCTATGACTTGCAAACATTCTCTCCTGCTCCGTGGATTGTCTTTTCACTTTTATGATGGAATCTATTTTCTTTTTTCATTGAGATGAATTAAAAATAATCATCTTAAAGTACATAATTCAATACACTCACAATGTGATGTACCCACTGCCTTCAGCTAGTTCCCAAACATCCCTCCACTCCCAAAGGAGACCCTGTGCCCAGGAAGTAGCCATTCCTGCCTCGGTCAGTCTGGGCTGCTGGAGTAAAAGTGCCAAGGACCAGGTTACCTAAACAACAGAAATTCTCCCCTCGAAGCTCTGGAGGCTGGGAACTTCAGGATCAGGGTTCCAGCAGGTTCAGTGTCCAGTGAGGCCCCTTCCTGTTTGCAAATGGCTGCTGTGCTCTTGTATCCTGATGCAGTAAAGAGGAAGCTGAATCTCTCTCCTTCATGAGGCATTTTGTGACTACCTTCTTTCATTTAGCACAAGCATTCTCAAAGTTCGTCTGTGCTGTACTGTTTATCAGTAGCTGAACAACTCTGTGGAATATACCAGTTTGCTTATTCTTTCATCCATTAATGAACATTTGGGTTGTTTCTACCTATTGGCTATTGTGAATAGTACTGCTATGAAAAACTGTGCATAAGCTTTGCTTAAATATCTACTTTCAGTGCTTTGGAGATGTATAGACGGTAGTTAAAGAGTAGACCTGTTGAGTCATAAGGTAACTCTACGCCTAACTTTTTGGGGATCGTCCAAAGCAGCAGTGAGTTTTCCACACTGCTGTACCATTCCATTCCCACCGGCAGTGCACGGCCGTTCTGACTTCTCCTCCTCATAGTTTCACTACAGCGGATTGAGACATGGAATATTCTCCTTATCCTGCTTGGGATGATCTGAA